TTATATCAAGATTTTAGTGTGAGACAGACCAACGGAGAAAGACGCATGATACGTTTCTTCTAGACACGTGTCAGATTGTGAGTGGACCGAAAGAAGCAGAGACGATTTCTCTCTCTCGGCATCTCCGAGTTGAATCTGAGAAAGAAGAAGAATCCAAAATTTCCTCAAGATTTGGAGAGAGAGAGAGAGATTCGTTGTGAATTAGATGCATGAAGTTGGATTGCCGTTGGATCTCAATTTCTTCACACAGCTGATTTTGACTCTCTTCTTCCTCTCCCTCGGCCTACTCAACTTTGTCAAAAGAACAGTCGCTAAGTACTTCGAGGTCAGCGGCTCCAGTGATTTCATGGTTCTCGACGCAGGGGAATGCGCCGTTTGTGGTAAAGCTACTACCAAAAAGTGCTCTCGTTGCAAATCTGTTCGATACTGGTATTTACTCTCTTTGTCTTTGAACAAGATTAGGGTTTCTTGATTTGATTTAGATGTAGTTAGAGAATAGATATGGAACAATCTTGTTTTTGAAAGTTCAATTTTTAGGATTTTACCAATTTTAGCTTTTTGAAAAGTTTGGATTTTTAGTTTTTCACTATGTTCTTTAGTATTAGCTCTGCGGTCAGACTGGAGCTCGGGACATAAACTAAAATGCAAGGTATTTTTGATTCATCGTCACCGGTTGGAAGAGGTGATTTTGATTTCAAAACTTCTCTGTTTGGGAATTGCGAATAGGTCTGCTTCCAAGGTTGCATTGGTTCCCCAACTGAGCCAAAGAAAGGATAGTGTCAAGCCAAGAGATGTAATGTGTTTTGTGTTTTGTTTTAAGTCATCTGATGTTGTTAATATTCTCTTGTTGGTTTTGACCGTGCAAGTCTCATTCTGTTTGTGTCTTTTGTAGGTGCTTTTCCCATATGAGCAATTGTTCGATATTTTAAATGGGATAGACCAACATTGGCTCCTTGTGGGCTTGTCAATTGCGGAAACCGGTTTTTATTCTCTAGAACCCCTTTGTATCACCATTGGACATACAAAATTTTAAAAAAACTTAATGAGTCTCAAAGATTAAACTAATAGTAAAATTAATACTAAATTAAGGTTGGTGATACGAGTATCACCCTTAATGATGCTAGGGTTGTAATTTACATTTTCACTTGCTTGTGTTGTTGACTGGATCTGCCTGTAAGTTTGGTAAACTGATTCATGGAGTATTGTTTTTATTAAGAAAAAAACTTATTAAATAAAAGAGATGCGCGCGATAAGAACGCGACACGTATGCAAAATTTTAACTCGCTAGATTAAGACACGTGTAATTGTTAATTTAGATTGTGACATATGTCAATATTAACAAAAAAAATTTAAAAAGCAAATAGAGAATAAATTTTAAACAAGGATTTTGGACTAATTAACAAAGAGGAAAAAACCGTCATACTAAAATAGGCAATATTTATAAATTGTTATATTACAAAATACATTCTTTACATTTCAAATTATATAAATAGTTAAAGACAAAATAAGATGTCATATTAGAAGTGTCATTTTGC